CCTTACACAACAGCCTATGTGTTTTATTGAGGTCATTAAATGTTGATCAAATATAGGGGACAAAAAACACCACATTTGTGCTGGTTCTGGATCCAGCAGTTTTGTCAACTGTCCTGTAACCACGCCAGGGAAACGGGAACGTGCTTTCTGTCCATTAAAAGCCATTAACGATACAGTATCCGTGTACCTCATTGTGTGTTTTCTTCACAAAAAGACTGCCAAGGAAATTGACGACGACATCTATGGGACTGGCTGGGAACTGTCTCCCAGTTGTTTCGCCAACTTCTGAGTAAATTTGATCGCAACAGGTGCCGAACTGTTCAGCAACCCCCTGGACATTTCTCTTAACATACCTATTTGTTTTTAACAACCTTTCCTGCGTGTGTAAGATTTCGTCCTTTTCTGACAGGACTTTTTCAGCTGTGACCCGTTTTCAGCTCTACTTCGAACAGCGCAGGTACAGCGGTCCTTAGGGATCCTTTTTTAAAATAAAATTAAATTAAAAGGATCAATGCAATGTTCATAGAAATCGCAGATACAAAGAAGAGCTACTGTAGCTCTTTTTAAAATGTAGGTAAATGAAGTTATTTCTGCGAGTTCTTACAGCCTTTTCCCCATCTGATTTTCCACGGCTGATTCAATGAAATGGATGTATTTAAATAGATGAATCTTTTGTTTTCTTCTGCAGCCCGCGGCGGAATAACCTGTAACCGGGGATCCGGGGGACAAAGGCAGGCGGGGGGACGCGGTGTGTCCGCCGGGCGGGGGGACACAGTGTGTCCGCCGGGCAGCGGCTCAGCCCGGCCGCGGTGACCGGCAGCCCGCACAGCCAATCCGGCCGCGGGGAGGGAGGAGACCCCGCAGATTCAAACCTTCGGGAGAGAAAGGGGGGAGGAACAGACGAAACGGAGGAAAAAACAGTAGCCGGGAAGTTTTGTTCTGTTCATGCAAGTGTATCGGTTTTTTTACCCCCACTGGAATGCGCCTGACAACCAGACGCGAGTAGATCCAGGCAGCGCCTACTCGGATGTTATTGTTCATTTGATTTTCTTCTGCTTTTACCCGAGTAACTATGTTTATTGCGGTCAGGTTTTCCCACAATTAGCAGAAACACAGGGGATTCGCTCTTTCGACTCCAGCCCTGCGGGTCATGGCGGAGGTCACAGTACAGGTAAGCCAAAGATATGAAAGTTACCTTTTTTTTAAAAAAAGAAAAAAGATTATTTGGCTTCTCTTTAGGATGACGGATATCTCGTTGAACCTACAGATGCTGCCCGTGTTGTCAATATGTTTGCGAGTGAAAAGCCTCATTATTTATAGAGCATTTGGTTATTTTCCTATGTTCTGTATTTTGTGAGCTGCCCTTGTTGCAGAAACATTATTTGACCGTGGCAGGAAAAGGTGGAGTTAGATATGACTAGTACTTATTGTGTTTCGATGAGAGTTAAATAGTTTGGGGGCGATTAGTTCACTGTGGACGTGTGATTTTGTCTTTTTAGGCTTTTTATCCGGGGAGGAAAAACTCTCACTTTTCTGGTTTTTCCTGTTCGCTATAAGCGCACTTTTCGTTCACAGACTTCACGAAGCAACTATTTTGTCGCAATAGCTTTACAAATATCCTGCTGGTTTACTGGCTTCGTACTGGGTGGGGACGTGGACCGCATTAAAACGTCATTGCATTAAAACTTAAGAGCCGCATCGTTTTCTTTGAAAACCAAGGCACGCGGAATTGCAGAAATTCTAGTTATATGGGGAGAAAATAAATCTTTATGCAGCCGATCAGCAGAAATGGAACCAAGTGCAGTGATCGGTCTGGGTCGCAGAAGACCAGCCTTTTCTGTCTTTGGAAACGCTCGTCACTCGGAGCTTAGCTTGACCCCCGTTTTGACCTGTGAGGTGGGAGGGAGCCCGAAGAGTGGTGTGAAGGGTGATTTTCAGATTTCAGATTTCATTTCAGAAGCCCTTTCCGCCGAGGAGCCGAGCGGCGACCTAGTGTAGGGGCGGTTCAGAAAGTTCCTATCAGTTTCCCCACCCCGTGTACACAGCTCTCGCGTCTGGCCTTTATTGAAATCCGACTCCACACTGGACTTTCCCAGGACGCTGTACATTGTTGGCTGCTTTGGTCTGCGATTTACTTTCCTCCCCCTTCTGCCTCGCCTGGTGTAACAGACTTGTCTGAAACATACTGTCCTCTTGGTAAACCATGTTTAGGAACTGCAGCGCCAAAAAGTAATGGGCAAGCCCAAAAAGTGCTTCAGAAGTTTTATATATGTGTATAAAAATATCGGCAGGGTATTCTGTTTTACCACCGCTGGTTCTACAAAGAATGTGGTAACAGAACTCGGGAGGGCATTTTTCTGTTTTAAATTAAAACTTGAAGACCAAGTGAAGGAAGAGGAAAAGAGGAGGCGATTTCCTCATGGAGGGGATCCTGCAGTGTGGTGTGTTCCCTGTGCGTTCAGCCCACGCAGTGCCAGCCTTTACTTTGTGTGCCTTACTACACACAAATGTGCCTGGCTGGCAGCGAGTAGAGCAGAAAAACCTGTGTCTGATTCTTTGCAATAAACAATTGTATTTTGATTTAAAAAAAAATATATCCCCTAAGTTCAGCAGAGACCCTCTAACGCTCCTGGTTTTGGGAACCCCCCCAGAGCAGCTGCCTGCAGGACCTGGCGGACGGCAACATCCTGGACCCGGCCTTCCAGCAGCGCCTGGAGGGCGCCCGGACCCAGCTGCGGCAGGAGATCCAGAAGGAGCTGAAGATCAAGGAGGGGGCGGAGAGGCTGCGGCGCGCGGTGACCAGCCGGAGGAACGCGGTGCACGTGGAGGGGCAGCTGAAGGCCTCCAACCGCAAGCTGGAGCAGCTGCACTGGGAGCTGCAGGAGCTCAACGCCCGGGCCATGGCCAGGGACAAGGACAGCCAGACAGGTCGGGGGTCAGGGGTCGGGGGTCAGGGGTCATCTTCTGCCCTTGCTGGCGGTCTGTAGAGCTCAGACCCGGTCTGGAGGGGCATCTTTAGGGGCAGGTAGTGAAAATGCACCATCTGTCCAGTTCTCTTTAGTTAAGAACTAAGATTAGTTCCCAAGAGCTTAATTATTCCCAAGAGCAGCAAGTGGTGCAACATACAACACGCGACACTAAAAAAGAAAGAAAAGTACAAGCAAAGATGAAAATGGCAAACGGGCCGGAGCAGTGATTGACGCGAACAGTGTGTGGTATTTAAGAAGGTGTTGAAGTACATGCGTGTTTGTAGAGGGGGCTCTGTCTAGTACACATCTAAGTGCTTCACTCAATTCAGGGTCACAGGGGAGCCAGACCCTACCCCAGCAGGCGGTGGCTGCATGGCAGGATGGGATGCCATCAAAATTTACCAACTTCAAAAATAAAGCCCCCCCCCCCTGCAGGACAAGTGCCACCGCCTTCTTTTCAGAAACCAGCCCCCGCTCAGCAGCGGGGATGTACCTGAGTGGGCATCGCGCCGCTAACGAGCGCTCCTGGCCCGTCTGGTGACCGTGTGCCGTCCCTTGTGTTGCCCCCGCCAGACGACGCCACCTCGCCCGACCCCTGCCGCTGGGAGGAGAGCACCACGCCGCTGGCCAGCCGCATCCTGGCCTTGAAGAAGCAGCTGACCATAGAGACCAAGGTGAAGCAGGGCGCGGAGAACATGATCCAGATGTACTCCAACAGCTCCTTCAAGGTAGGCCCTCGCCCGAGGGTGGCCGGCATTGCTGCCTCGCAGCGCTGGGGCCCTGGTTTCATCGGTCTCTTTAAATCGTCCGCAGCTCTGGGCCTGGGCGTGTCAGAATGGGCCTGTTGAGTAAATAGTCTGGCCTAGTTTAATTAGGAAATGACTCAAGTAGAACGACAGCCGGGGGACTTTGCAGAGGGCCAGAGCACAGCAGTGGGGTATCGCTCTGGCTTGTACCAGAAGCAGGCCGGTTTGGCACAGGTCTTCAGAAACACGGGTGTCAAGCAGTCATCTGCTTGTCATCCTATCTGGACAGCCCTTAACGCTGCGCCGGCGTGGGTTTGGCAAACTCTCTGAAGTTTTTTGGGGTTTCTTTCATTTCTCTGGGGTCTGATTTGGCTTACCAAAGAATCCCTGCCTGTACAAGGCGCTGAATTCCCCCCGGAACTGGTTTATGCTCCCAGAGTGCCGCGCGATCGTCGTCCCCCGTGTGCAGGACGGGCTGTGTCGTTGTCTGGTCCAGCGGCGGCCGAGGCCAGTGTGCAGCGCTGACCGCGCAGCTGTGCTCAGGGAAGCAGTACTGATGGCACAGAGGCAGCCCAGCTGCTTCTGCAGACAGAGTGCAAACACAGGGGAGAGAGAGAGGGAGGATGGGTTAGTGAACCATCAGCAGAATCCAGCGAAGGCATTGCAGATCTTCGCAGTAAGCGAACAGGCTGAAAGAGCTGGAGCGGATCTCTCAAACTCAGCGAGCCCTAACTAGTTGTGTTTCAGGGGTGGTTAAGAGGCGTGACACAAGCAGTGTCTGGAGAGAAGGACAGTCTAGCAGGACAGTTAGTCCAGCTGTGGAGGGCAGCCCTGTCTGTGTCCTGGCACGTTCTGAATATTCATAACTCAGCAGGAGGACAAGGGCATGCCTGTGATCAATCACTGTGCTGCTTCCTCAGCTGCCAGGCTCTTAACACCGCGCAGGACGCTGCTCTTCAGCTCAGGGGAATGTGATCTTGGTAATGAGGAAAAGCTTGGTGCAGTCGTAACCTTTGTTTTTCCCCTCTGTGATTCTCCTTTCCAGGACCGGAAGATGCTGTCCACTGCCCAGCAGATGCTCCAGGACAGCCGGACGAAGATCGAGCTGATCCGCATGCAGATCGTCAAAGTCGCGCAGGCAGGAGAGGGAGACGGGGAAGGCTTCGACTCGGAGGCCGAGCGAAAGGGTGGGGCCCTCTGTAGACGGCAAGAGCTACTTTTCATTGCGCTGTACATACTCGCGTCCGTCCGGCGGCCTGCCTGCCACACAGACACCAGCACACCAGAGCCCGTTTTCCCACTGTAACGCGGGGAGAACGTGCAAACTCCACGCAGACCGCTGGGCCTCAGTCCCCCTGTTCCCTCTCCCGTCCCCCCGCAGGCCGGCCGCTGGACACCATCAGCCCCCTGGAGCTCCGCGTCGCTGAGCTGCGGCACCACCTGAAGATCGAGGCCGCCGTGGCGGAGGGGGCCAAGAACGTGGTGAAGCAGCTGGGGGGCCGCAGGGTGCAGGACCGTCGCGCCCTGGCAGAGGTGGGCACTAGGCCTGGCACAGGGGGCAGGACTCGGGCAGCGAGCGGCGCTGGCTGGGCTGGGATTGCGCCGGTGTTTTAGTGGTCGATCAGTAGTTCGCAGTCCTGGCCCTGGAGGTACCCTGTGTGTCTGCTGGTTTATCTTCTCTCCAGGCCCTTAATTGCTCCCGGTAATCGATCTGCTTGTTTTAACTTTGTTTTCTGACTGAACAACATGCCTCAATACAGCGGTTGTGGCTCCTGGTCCTGGGTCACCTTCTGGATTTCGGTTTTCCGCGCTGCTTTTATAGGAGGAACACAGTTGTGGTTATGCATGTACTGTACAGAGAAAACAGAGCGCTGTCCAGCTGGAGTGAGACGCACTAGGAGAGACTGGCAGCTCTGCCTATGCAGCGTCTCTAACTGGACCCTTAATTTCTCATTCTGCACCCGGATTCTGGAGCACAAGCAGGCACTTTCAGATTATCTGGACACTGTTCTAGGTGCAGAAAAACAAGTATTATCAGGCAGCAGACGCATAGAAAATTCACCCCGACGCTCAAAATAGAGGAAATTCCAGGCATGTGTTTTTCCTGCGAGCTGGGAAAGACGGCCGTTGGGCAGGGGGTGTGGGTGACCCAGGGCTGGGTACCGCCGGGCTGGCACTGCTTCAGGAGGGCTTTGCCCGCTGGTTGTCTCTCCTCCCAGGCCCAGGCCAGGCTGCAGGAGTCCTCGCAGAAGCTGGACCTGCTGCGCCTGTCCCTGGAGAGGCGGCTCGGTGAGCTATCCCAGGACCACCCGAAACGGGCCGTCATCAAAGAGGAGCTGGCCCTGGGCGCCTCGCCCTCCCTGGGGCTCCAGCGGCACCGCCTGCAGTCGGCCTCCTCGTTCTTCAAGCCCGCCACCCTCACAGGTGGGCCGGACGTCGTGGGGCGTGCTCGGTTATTCAGGCAGTCTTGACACACAACGGGCTGGCAAGATGTTCTGATCTCTTCAGCAGGTTGTGTTGTTTTCAGTCGGCCATTAAAATGGGATTCATATCATCATTTGCATGTCCCCGTGACTGGATTTAAGTGCCTTTATGAACCTTTCTCGTGACGAGCTGACCGAGTCCCGGCGCCCTGTCGGTGGTCTTGCCCGGCGGTGTCCGTCCTGAGCTGCCCACGAGCCGGACCTTTCTTACAGGCAGGCTGGAGGTCAGGCTGATGGGCTGTCAGGACCTGCTGGAGTCGGTGCCGGGCCGCTGCCGGGTGTCCGGCGTCTCCGCGGCCCCGGGCAGCCCCTCCGAGGCCAAGTCCCTGAAGGTGCGGGCGGGAATCTCGGGCCGCGGCACGAGCAGCAGGCTCAAGACGGACGAGCTGTCCGGTGAGTAGACCCCAGGCCGGGCTTCGGATGTCTGCTTTCCCCCTTCGCTCTGCAGGGGATCCCCCTTTCTTAACTCTCACCGGAAACTTAATTCAGGGGCGTTTGTTAGTCATCTTGTTTCACGTAGGAGAGAGAAACTGGCCTGTGAGGCTTTTTTTAGGTGGGGTTCGTACATTTTTGGTTCTCTGAAATGACCACAGAATGAAAAAGGGGCAATGTCTAGTTCTCGTTTCTATTTTGTTGGAGAATGAAAAAGCTTGTGTGTCAGATTTCGTTTTAAGAGGGCAGTTCAAGTGCTTCCTGCTTGGTTAGAGAAGGAAAGATGTTCTGTTTGGGTGCAGGCTGAGCGCTGTGGTTGACATGTTCCCCAGTTTGCCAGTATCTACTGGGGATGCAGGAGTGTCCCTGATTTACACCCGTGAGCCTGCGTGTGGGCGTTGAGCTCTGCTCTTCAAGGCACTGTGGATTCGCCGGGTGGAAAAATTCAGCTTTGCGAGTAGTAGTCCAAGTGTCGAATCTGCAGAGCCACTCGTTTCATCCCCACTAGTATGGGCTGTGATCAGGGCTGAAGAAGATCTGGCAGTTTCCTTTGGGAACGAATGATTCCTTGCACAGTTCATTTGCACTAAGTTGCCAGAAACGTGGAGACAGGTCATTTGTTTGCACGGAGAGAGAGAACTCCTGTGACGCCTGCGGCTGACAGATGAACCTGTTCTGCCCCGTCTCCTGCAGCGGACATCAGCGCCGTTCTGAAGCTGGACAACAAAATGGTGGGCAGGACCAACTGGAGGCCCGTCAGCAACCAGGCCTGGGACCAGAGTTTCAGCATCGAGCTGGAGAGGGTGAGGCTCTGGGAAGCACGCTGCTGCGCGTGGCCACTTTAATCCGCACGTCGGGCAAGCCGCCCGCGACACAAGGCTCATACTCGGGGTGCCGAAATTCACACAGGTCGCTGCTTTTCATGTTCTTCATCGCCACCGCAGACCAACAGCAGCATGGCCCAGCTGGCGCAGCGGGCGCAGTAGCACATGTCATTCGGGCGGCTTTACGTGGCAAACAGATCTCTGAAGTACGGTCCTCGGGGCTGTGTGAAAGCCGCCTTGTTCTTCTGATGGAGAACCTAGCATCGCTCCCTTGGTACCGTAAGCCCCTGTGTGTGTGTCAGAGGCAGGCTGGCTCAGCATTGTGCGAGTCCTCACTCCTTTTGTGCTTAAATTCAAAAAGAGAAATTTAAAAAACAAATGAATTTTTAAGATAGTTCACGATGGCAGAGGGCTCAGAGGCGCGCAGTAATGTGCAATACGATGTCTCCCCCTTTCCCTCGCCTCGCCCCCAAGTCTCGGGAGCTGGAGATCGGGGTGTACTGGCGGGACTGGAGGGCTCTGTGCGCGGTGAAGTTCCTGCGGCTGGAGGACTTCCTGGATAACCGGCGTCATGGCATGTGTCTGTACCTGGAGCCCCAGGGCATGCTGTTCACCGAGGTGAGCCTTCCTGCCCCTCGAAAAGCCTCTTTCCCGTGCTATTGGGTTCTTGGATTTTTTTTTCAATGAAGCTGTTAGGCTTGTATGCTGGATTTTTAAAAAATATATATTTTCCTTTGAACTGTATTTACTTTTAACTTTTTTTTGTATTTGACGCCGTGCGAACATCAGGTGACCTTCATCAACCCTGTCATAGAGCATCACTCGAAACTGCAGAGGCAGAAGCGCATCTTCCCTAAAGAGAAAGGTGAGGCCGCCGTCCGCGGATCTCGTCGGGGGCCTTGAATTATTACGTTTCCAGCGCAGGCCTGCGACTCGCCATGCAACATGGTTTCCTTCCTCCCCAGCAGCTCCTGTTCTGCATTTACCCTGAGAAACCTCTGGCTTCCCGAACGCGTTCCCCCTTCCTCACTGGGCTTTCCCCTGCTTGCTGTCCTAGGGAAGAACTTCCTGCGCGCGGCTCAGATGAACATCAACATCGCCACGTGGGGCCGGCTGATGATGAGCATGCTGCCCCCCTGTAGCTCCTTGTCGGCCATGAGCCCCCCGCTCTCCGGCTCCTCCGATTCCGAGGTCACCCCCCCCCCGCCGTGCGCCGAGGACAAGCCCGGCGTGTCCACGCCGCTGCCCGGGTGAGAGGCAGGGCATCTGCGGGACAGGGTCACCCCTGTCAGAGTCTGGACAGGCGCAGCGCAGGAAAGCGATCGTTTTGACCATCAGAGGACTTTTTAGCTCCGAGCGGGTTTTGGATACCTGGGTAAAACTTGTCGTCTGTCACAGACGTTTCTCTCTGCAGCAAGAGACGTGTGGTTTAGCACAGAACAGGGGCCCGAATACGTGTGTCAGGTTCTTTTTGTGGTGAATACGGGGAAACCAGGCAGGCTTCTCTCAGCACAGTAAACCGTTCTGGGTTATTGGGAGTTTTGCTCTAAATTCAGCGAGTGAGCAACAGCTCCGGTTTCTAGCCTCGCTGTGCAGGGGGGGCTCGTTCTCGAACCTGAGGCTGCTTGTGTATTATTGGAGTGTCGCTGTGGACAGGAGCAGCCTCTCACCTCCCCCTGCGCTCGCTGTTGCAGGGACGCTCCAGTGGTCAGGCTGACCTTCAGCGAGGACCGGCCCCCCAAACCCCCCCGCCTCCACATGCAGCAGAGCCCCGCAGAGAGCCCGTCACCCCCGGTACGCAACAGGACACCCCGATACACGCGCACACGGACACACCTGTGCTGTTTCCTTTCTCCCTCTCTTTCCTCCCCACTGGGAGTGCCAGGGATGCAGACTGTAGACTTGGGATGAGTCTCTCCAGGCCAGTTCAGTCAAAGCCATGTAGTCATGCAGAACTCATGATGCATATTTGCCTAGCAAATAAAGAAGTGCACAAGCAAGCACACGATTTGCTTTTTGAAACTGTAAGTACAGTCCATTTCAAGTCTAACAGTAAAACATATTCAAGGTTTAATGATAAATTAACTGGCATTTTTTTTAGGTGCATTTGTGTGCGTCCTTAAAATGACTAAATGGATCAAACCGAAGGGGATTGGGTGATAAAACAAATCCTGGTGCTGATTTGAAGAAATCAGTGTTGTTACTGTGGTGGTTGTTATAAATGCTCAACCCTGGTGTTGGCTGTGGGATACAGGTGTGTGCTGTAGCTGCTCTGCTTGCGCTCACTGGTCTGTCTCCGTCTGTGTTTGCGCAGTTCAGAGACACGCAGCCAGAAGACAGAAACAACTGCAGCACCAGAGGAACGGGATCCTGTCAGCCTGCTCCCGAGTAACTTTCACTCAATCTTTTGTTCATGCGTTTCTCCTTCTACATAAAACATATCAGAGTTGTCTCTTAGCAGGTCCACAAAAAAGTTGAAATCGCCCCACGTGATCTCAAATGTTTTTGCAATACAGCAAATTGTCCTTAAGGGTACGTTTTTGTATAATTTTTTAGTAAATCGTGCAAGATGCATACTTATAGTTCCTTAATAAAAAGACTTGCTATGAAGATTTGTGATGTATGTTACTTTAGTTGACATCCTCATTGAGACCTGCTTGTACAATGATTTGGGCAATAATAGTTTAGCCATGAGACTCCTTGAAGTTCCCCCTCTTGTTCCACCAGAAAGAAGCAAGGCATGCAGATGGAAGATTTCAAGTGCATCTCTGTTCTGGGAAGAGGGCATTTCGGAAAGGTAGTGGGCCGCCGTCTGCTGGTTGGAAAGTCTGTCGAGTTGTGTTTCGCCACTCTGTGCTACGTGCTTCCGCAGAATGGTTCCGCCACTAATCCCAGTGTCCTGCTCCGCAGGTTCTCCTTGCGGAGTACAGGAAGACAGGGAAGCTGTATGCCATAAAAGCCCTGAAGAAGGGAGACATCGTGACGCGTGATGAAGTGGACAGGTAGGTGTCCTCTGTCTTATGGAGCTTCGTCTTGGAACTTGTTGCCTGATGGTCCACTACTCTTCCAGCCCTCATGTCTAAAACCCTCGAATGAACACGGACGTTAGAAAAACTGAAAAGTGTGACTTAATTCGGTAGGGAGCAAGAGGAAAAACTGCTGTTTGGAAATAGACTGGAGGTTCATCCCACCACGAGTGGTTGCAGTCCAGTGGGGTTTCTTTTGTTTGTGGGGAAACGTTATTTCTCGGTGCTGAACGTTTCGGGCTCAGACGAGATTATTCCCTGGCGGGGGGGTTGTGCTCCTCCCTGACCTGTGGTGTGTGTCGTTGTCTCTGGGGGCGGGGCAGCCTGATGTGCGAGAAGCGGATCTTCGAGACCATCAACGCCTCGCGCCACCCCTTCCTGGTCAACCTGCACGCCGGCTTCCAGACCCCGGAGCACGTCTGCTTCGTCATGGAGTACTCCCCGGGGGGCGACCTGATGATGCACATCCACAGCAGCGTCTTCTCCGAGGGGCAGGCCCGGTGAGGACACGCCCCCCTCCGCCCGCTCCGGTCTCCGGCAGCCGGGGCTTTCTCCCTGCGGAGATCGGAAAGCAGCTCATCCCCCGCAGCCGACTGCGGGATGAGCCCTCGATGGAGGAATGTGCTTCATGGGATTTGGTGAGAGATTGTAGGAGAGGTTGCAAATAAGAGGAGGCCATTCAGCGAATCTGGCTGCTAGGACTTGGGAGACCTAAGGACCTCGTCCAGACTCTTCTGAAAAGAAATTAGGGTAACGGCTCCAATAACGTGTCTGGTCCGCACGTTCCCCACTCCTCCTGGGTCATAGGTGAACCTAGAACTGATTAGGGGCTCTGTCTCTGTAACTAGGGGCTCAGTGGAGACGGGTGGGTTCCTCTGGGGTCGTCTTGCTTGTTAAAGCCTGTGTTTGCTGTGCAGGTTCTATGCTGCCTGTGTGGTGCTGGGGCTGGAGTTTCTCCACAAGAATAAGATTGTTTACCGGTGAGTCCCATTTCTTCTGGGTACTACTCTCCTGACACATTTTGTTTTAGAAGAGCAGTCTAATAAAACTTATTTGAATCCTGGACGAAATGTTTCCCTTTTAGTCGAAGCAGGTAAACCCGGAAATGTCATATTGCTTGTGACTTTTAAAATGCTCTCTTCTTTAAGCTGTTGTTGAACTTCTCCAACTGAGCCTTGCATTAGAATTCTCAAGCTGGCCCATCGGCGTGCAGACTTTCTCGCCTTGAGGAATGTCCAGGTCTCGTCTTTAATGAACAATGTCCTTGAAACACCCTTCAGACTTAAACATGAAAACGACTACAGACACCTGGCCAGTCCCTGCAACCTATTCTGATTGGAACAGGAGGACTTGGTCTCTTCATATCGCGCCTGCAAGGTAATCTGTTCCCGGCACCACTCCTGTCTTGTAGAGATTTGAAGTTGGACAACTTGCTGATGGATGCAGATGGCTTTGTGAGAATCGCAGATTTCGGCTTGTGTAAAGAAGGTAGGCACCCTCTCTGGTGTGGCACTGAGGACTATTGTGTAACCCCGGCTCCCGTCAGTGTTTCAAAAGAATTACAGCTTCATTTTGTATTTAGTCGTAAATATAAAAATGGTAATAATGATAATAATAGTTTAATAATAATAATAATAATTGCTTACACTTATATAGCGCTTTTTCTGGACACTCCACTCAAAGCTCTACAGGTAATGGGGATCCCCTCCACCACCACCAATGTGCAGCCCCACCTGGATGATGCGACGGC